GTGCAGTCTCGTGGGCACTCTGGCCTGTCACAGACCTATCAGAGGCCATCCGCTGGGTGAGTGCAGGCTCGTGGTCACTCTGGTCTGTCACAGACCTATCAGAGGCCTTCCTCTGGATGAGTGCAGGCTCATAGTCACTATGGCCCATCACAGACCTGTCAGAGACCATTCACTGTGTGAGTGCAAGCTCGTGGTCAATCTGTCCTGTCACAGACCTATCAGAGGCTGTCCGCTGGGTGAATGCACGCTTGTGGTCACTCTGGTGTGTCACAGACCTTCAGAGGCTGTCTGCTGTGAGTACAGGCTCATGGTTGCTTTAGTCTGTCACAGACCTCTCACAAGCCATCTGCTGGGTGAATGTGGGCTCCTGGTCACTCTGGTGCACAGTTTCCATAGGGCTGTCGAGAGGCACTGTGTGGCTGCCCCAGCTGGGGGCCACTTATTGCACTCTTGCTGCCCCCAAGCTCGGTCTGGAGAAGGCTAATCCCAATGGGAAGCTACGTTCAGACTTCAGCTCACATCCCAGGAACTAGTCTTCCAGCCTAAGCAGGTCACTGAGGGTTTCCTGTGTTAGTGCTCACAGCTCACACCCCCTAGAGAGTGGGCCAGATCTGGGGAAACATGTCCTCTGCTGCTAAAAGTGACAGTAGACTGTGCTCCCAGGGATGGACCACAAGGGGTGATGGGAGAACGTCGACCCTACCTGCTTGGAGGCACTGTGCCCCCAGCCCCTGTCTTCTCCCCACTCAGGTATGGAATGTGGAAGAGCAGGAGGGGGAACCTTGGTCCCCAGTGAGACCCTCTCAGCAGAGCTGGGCCTGGGTCAGGCTTGGAGGGTGACTGAGAGTTTGATGGACAGGATGCCGCATTTAGAGGGCCTCCTGCAGTGTAGGTTTCAGGGCTAGATACCAACAAAGTGCAGAGCATGGTGGCTGAGCTGATGGCTGTGGATCCTGCAAGCTGAACGCTGAGCCCTGAACGTTGGAAGATTGTCTGGAGTTACAGGACATGCTTGCTCTCTCTCCTGAGATGATCTCAATGGGGACTCAGTTTCCCCCTCCTATTCTCTAGAAGCTATCAAACTGAAGCCACTTCTCATGGCTTGAGGAAACTCAGAAAAGAAAAGAATACCTGCTTTCCAGCAGCCATCAGACTGCAGCCACTCCCCACTGTGATCCCTGAGGAAACTCAGGAAGGAGAAGACAGGATGCTGGTCCCAGGTTGTAAGGTGTGTATCAAAGGGGATGATTTCACTGAGATGGCTGGTGTATCTTCGCACACATAGAAAAGAGCTAAATTACTTACTTTTAGGTGCTGCCCCCTGGTTTTGAAGTCCTAAAATATTTGCACTGAATAAAACAACTCTCAACACCTGTATTATAATATTATTATTATAGACATTATTATGTCTATACATATGAGGTAGAGACTTTCCAAAGAACAACAAAGACAGATCTCAACGTTCAGCACACTGGCACCAGTGGTGGGCACTCCCCAAAAGATGCAACTAGTGGAGCAATTAAAACACTCATCACCCCTTTTCCCATAAGACTGTGGAATGGACGCTGACACTGGGGAATTGTTACAGGGAAGAACAAAATCTGACTCCACGTTGAATGTTTTACTTTAACGGTTGCTTCCTGTTGGTCTGTTTGCTACAGGGATGCTGTCCATACATAATGGCCTGCCTCAGGAAACCCCGCCCCTCTGCCTCTGTCCAGGACCTGTCCACCTGTGGATAGCTACAGGAGGGAGAAAGTAACACATCTTCTCCCGAGACTGGCCATTTCAGATATTTGCCATTTTAATGGCCTTTTTACTGTATTTCCTCACCTCCCAGCTCTGTGTTCTATAAAAGACACTGGCATTCAGACCCTGACAAGATGGTTTCTTTGAGATATTAGTCTGCTATCTTCTCAATCTGCTGGTTTTCCAAGTCATATTCCTTGCCTCAGCACCTCGCCTCTGGTTTATCGACCTGTTGTGAGGCATGCAGAGCTGGCTTGACTGGGTAACAATCCCACATGCCTTGCAGTCAAAAAATCAAAACATAAAATGGAAGAAATATTGTAAGAGATTCAATAAAGACTCTGATAATAGACCATATAAAAAGATCTGAAACCAAAAACCAAAAGGAACTCAGTGGTTGTCTGAAATATTTAGAAAGGAGTTAGTGCCCCTCTTGCCCATACCCCCTGAAGCCACAGTGGAGAGTTAGGCCCTGTTCATTCAGGACACCCTCTCCAGACCCCAGCTTGAGTTGCTCTGCCCCCACTGCCCCCTGGGTCTCAGGAGTAGAAGAGACACAGCCTGGAGGGTGGGGGTGGGGTGGGGTGGGGTAGTGTCTCTTCTCTGGCCCAGGGAGCGTCACACCAGCCAACTTATCTCCCTGCCCATAATAAATAAGGAGGGTTGTCAGCACCTGGGCGAGTGAAGTTGTGGGCACCTGGACTGCATCATCCTTGTGAGATTTGGTGTGAAGACAACACAGAAGGGGAACCAGCCAAGAGGGATCCAGGGAGCAGTAAACCCTTCTTCACAGGGAACCTGTGAGACCCAAGACTCACTTTGCCCTCCGTGCTCCCACTTTTGGGGACTGGCCTTTGTCATTCTCTGGGCAGGAGGAGGGAAGGACGACCCGGTCTCTCTTCCACCTCCTGAGACCCAGGTGGGCCCCGGGGGCAGCAGCACCTGCACCTGGGGTCCAGAGAGGGTGTCCTGAATGCACAGGGCCTAACCGTTCAGTGAGGCCGGCCCTCATCCACAGTGCACTGACCTGCTGCAGGGTCTCAGGTTCCCTGGCATCCAGCTCTCCCATCGCCAACCCCAGCTTGGTGTCTTGGGAGCCCCTCACTTGCGGGCACTCAGGAGGTGAAAGCTGCATGCCCAGAGAGAAGGAGGAGAAGCCGGTGGGGCAGGGGTCCAGCATGCAGTGTCCAAGACCCCTCTGTTCCCCCAGGAACACCCAGCCCTGCCTGCCGTGGGCTATCTCCTCTTCAGTATGTGTCTTTGTGGCTGACGTTGCCAAACACCTTCCTCTGGAAGAGAAGGCTCCATGACCATGGAAGGGGTGGAGGTGAGGAGGTGCTGTAGCCAGTAGGAGCTTCAGAGCTAACATCCCTGAGCCCTGAACGTACTGCCTGTTACATCTGTACCAACTGAGGCCAGATCCAGTCAGATTCTCTGTGGAAACATGTTCCATGTCCAACAAGAGAACCAAACTAGGTCAAGATCTGGGCAGATTCTCTGTGGAAACACTTTTCTGTCCAACAAGAGAGAACATGTTAACCCACAGCCAAACCCCGAGACGTGAGATGTGCTCTAACTGTGGAGACTGCAGGGAAGGTGTTTGAGAGGCTTCTTCCCAGGCGGCTCCCCTGAGGCCCCTGGAGTTACTGGACCCAGAGGCAGAGCACTTGAGCTTCTCTCCTCACTGCAGGCCAGACGGTGCCCCCAACCACAAAGCCCTGCTCCTCTGCCTCCCTGAGTTCAACAGATACCCCCGGTCATGAGGTCAAAGCGCAGTCTTCTTGGTGAGCAGAGCAGAGGCCGGTGGGAAGAGGGGTGGAGGCTGACAGCTGCTTTGTAGAAGAAAAACACGCATGTGTGTTCCCATGTGTGGTGGCTAGATGCTGCAGTAATTGGTGTTCCCCACACATTTGTGGGTGGGCTTGAGTTTCTGTATTTTCTAAATTTCTTTTTTTTAAACAGCTGCATAGTATGAGAAAATCTTGCAATCAACCATGAGCACTTGCAAAATAAGATCTTTTGTTTTTTTCTTTTCCTAAAATGTTGCAGTTTTCTATGGTGACAGATGAACAGCCTCCTACTTTTAAGTATTCATTTAATTGGCTGCGCTGGGTCTTAGCTGTGTCATGCAGGGCCTTCAGTGGCAGCATGTGGAAAATAGTGCCCTGACCAGGGATTGAACGTGGCCCTCTGTGTTGGGAGCTCAGAGTCCTAGCCTCTGGATCAGCAGAGAATGCCGCTTTAAAAAAAGGTTATTTATTAATTTTTGGCTGTGCTGGGTCTTTGCTTCTGTGCGGGCTTTTCTCTGGTTGTAGAGCGTGGGGCTGCTCTCTCGTTTCTGTGCTGAACTTCTCCCTGTGAAGGCTGCTCTGGTAGGGAAACACGGGCTCTAGGCTCATGGGCTGCAGTAGTTGTGAACGAACTTAGTTGCTCCACGGCACGTGGGGTCTTCCCAGGGATTGAACCCGTGTCTCCTGCATTGGCAGGTGGATTCTTAACCACAGCACCACCAAGGGAGTCATTTCCCTCCCCGCTTCCTGCCAACATCCCATTTAAAAAAAAAAGGCTAAAAATAATCTGTTTAGTAAGTTTTCAGGAGTCTGAGCTCTGAGATCAGTGTCTGTGTTGTCATTCTCCCAAAGGCATCTTGGCTTCACATACTGGCTGGGCTCATGAGTCCAGTAAGCAGGGCAAGTCTGGTGGCTGAAGACAGGCTCTGAAGCTCTGCCCTCACCGACTCACCCAGGGTCCCCGAGCCCCGGCAGCGAAGCAGAGCCGCGGGCAGGCGGGCATGGTACAGCCATGGGGCCGCCGTGGTCAGGGTGGAGCGTGTGGCAGAGCCAGCTGGCTGTCTGTCTCGTGACTGCTGGTGTCTTGTGTGCCCATGCAGGTCAGTCACGGTGTCAGGTGAGGCCTGGCCGCTGTCCTGGGGACAGGATGGGCCCTCAGACAGCTCGCATTCCCCACTCTCCATCTCCCAGCTCTGCTTGAGATCATGGCTTGTGGCTGCTGGCAGCTCCCAGGGCTGGGAGGCTGTGTAAAGCACCAACCCCCTTGCTCAAGGTCAGCTGAGACCCCCAGCTCTGGGGTCACACACCATCTGTGCCACCATCCAGGTCATCCCACGTCTGTGAGGGAGGGCCTGTGTGGGGCTGTGTGTGAGGGGGGATTTGGGGGTGTTGTGGGCTGGCCCCAGGAGTCAGCTTTTTGAGGTGAGGGGAGTAGAGGGGAGGGGAGGGAGAAGCTTTGACCTGCTCAGCCTTCCAGGTGATTTCAGGCGCAGCTCTGGTGGGAGGTGCAGGTGAGAAGCCCCTGCAGGTTTCTGGGTCCCCAGAGTTTTCCGTTGAAGCCCCTCGGCCTGCACCACCCCTAATTCTCTCTCCCGTGGCCCCGGCCTGAAGCCACACAAGATGGGAAGTTTATGTGGCTTTCCTTCCTGTAGGGAAACCAAGCCGCAGACAAACCGGTTCCTTTAAGAAAGCATGACAGAAACAGGAAAATAATAGTGGGTGGTTATTAGTGACACGGTTCATGTAGAGACACTTCACAAGCCTGGCACATGGAAGGAACTGAGGGCCGTTGCCCCGAGTCCTGAAATTTGCACCCTCCACCCCCCGCCCCGTGGCCCACTCTCCCCTTGTCTTCTGGTGGCCAGGCGGACTTCAGCCTCCTGAACCCCTTCTGGAAGGATCAGGACAGGGCAGAGGTCATTCACAGAGGGGAGGGTGTTTTCGACCTTAAGAACCCCATTGCCCCCACTCTGTGTCGGAGCTCAGTTCTGGATCTGAGCAAGCGTGGCTTCCTGGTGCTCTCCCCACCCACACTCACCCAGGGTGTGTGTGTGTGTGTGTGTGTGGGGAGCTTTGTGTTCACTTTGTCCCCTCGTGCAGCCTGGTCACCCAGGGACCCGTGCTGTGTGAGCGCTCACAGCTCACCCCGGGACCCATCAGACTTAAGTCATGAAAGGGAAGTGTAAGGATGAGCTGTTCCACAGTAAGAATTTCAAGGTCTCGAGAGCGTTGCCCAGAGCGCACGGGCACAGGTACAAGGCCCATGCATAGAGAAGCCACGGTGTGGGCTTCAAGGACCCTACGTGTGGCGGTGGGATGGGGGCCGGTCAGGGATTTCCTGCAAACGTGGCTCCAGGCTCTGTTCTCAGCAGCGTTGAGGACTGTGGGCACTGCCTGGCTGTGGAGGGGCCCTGGGGCTGCCCAGCTCAGCAGGAACGGCAGGGGTGGAAAGGGAGATCACCCTCCCTTAGGACCTCTGACCTCACACCCCCTCATCAGGACAGCCTAGTGCCTAAACGGCCCCTTCCTCGTCTAGCTCTGAAGACCTGGAAGGTGTGGGGGCTGAAGGACATGCAGAAAACAAAATTCTTTAAAGCAATTATCCTTCTATTAAAAAATGAAAAAGATTGAAGAAAAAAACACAAAGGACAGCAAAAGTGGGGCTTGCGTTCTCAGCCAGCCTCTGCCAGATTCCGCCTGTGCTTACGCATCAGACCAAAATGCTAGTTTTCCCACCCCGTATCACAGATGAGAACAGAGACACAGAGAGGTTGAGCATCTTGCCCCAGCTCACACAGCTGCTGGGGGCAGGGCTAAGAACTGGACCCCGGTGGTCAAATCTGGAGTCCAGATGCTGTGATGACACTGAGGGAGCGGCAGAGACCAGAAGGCCCATGCTGAGCCAGGCGCACGTGCACATACACACACGTGCACGTGGCCTTCACCTTTGCGGCTACAGAAGTCAGAGGGAACAAGAGGGCCACCAGGAGAGGCCAAAGGAGAGCCGAGGTCTATAAGGAGGAGAGGCCCCACTTCCCAGGAAGCCGAGGAATTCCCTTCCCTGGTGAGTCTGTCTCAACTCTACATTCCTCTCTCTGGTCCCAGGAACTGACTGTCCAGTGACCTGACTTGGCTCCAGAATTATGCCTTCCCAGGGGTTCAGCTTCGACTGGACTCCACTGCTGTCAGTGATAAGGGGGAACGAGTACATAGTCTGGGCTTCAGATCTGTTTGGAGCCAAAATTTCTTAGGAGTACTAAAAAACCACGAAGGCAATTGGCATGAACAGAACACTTAAGAAACCCTCTGCTGTTTATCTACTTCCTCTCATGTCACAAAAGTGGAAGGTCTATTTAGCAAGTAATTCTGTGCATATCACACTCTTTAAAATATTTATTATATATTTATTTATTCATCTGTGCTGTGTCTTCTTTGCAGCACGTGGGAGCTAGTTCCCCAATCAGGTATTGAACGTGGGTCTCTGCATTGGAGTCTTGACCCCTGGACCACCTGGGAAGTCTCTCCTCATACTCCTGGGGAGAGTAACGGGTCACAGACCTCCTCTGAGGCCCCCTTAGAGCTGAGGCATGGGGTGCCTTCAGTAATCCTCCTGTGGCTAAGGTGTGGTTTGTTGGTCATGACTCACTCACACCCCCTGCAAACATAGGGCTACTCCCCTGTGTGTGTCCTCTTGTGTGAGATGAGATGGGTCTTCTGACTGAAGCTTTGCCCACACTCCCCACAAACATAGGGCTTCTCCCTTGTGTGTGTCCTCTGGTGTCTGATGAGGGCTGACTTCTGACAGAAGCTTCGCCCACACTTCCCGCAAACATAGGGCTTCTCCCCTGTGTGTGTCCTCTTGTGTGAGATGAGATGGGTGTTCTGACTGAAGCTTCGCCCACACTCCCCACAAACATAGGGTTTCTCCCCTGTGTGTGTCCTCTGGTGCCTGATGAAATCTGACTTCTGACTGAAGCTTCGCCCACACTCCCCACAAACATAGGGCTTCTCCCCTGTGTGTGTCCTCTGGTGCCTGATGAAATCTGACTTCTTACTGAAGCTTCGCCCACACTCCCGGCAAACATAGGGTTTCTCCCCCGTGTGTGTCCTCTTGTGTGAGATGAGATTTGACTTATCACTGAAGCTTCGCCCACACTCCCCACAAACATAGGGCTTCTCCCCTGTGTGTGTCCTCTGGTGTCTGATGAGGACTGACTTATCGCTGAAGCTTCGCTCACACTCCCCACAAACATAGGGCTTCTCCCCTGTGTGTGTCCTCTGGTGTGTGATGAGATGGGACTTCCGACGGAAGCTTCGCCCACACTCCCCGCAAACATAGGGCTTCTCCCCTGTGTGTGTCCTTTGGTGTGTGGTGAGATGGGACTTCTGATGGAAGCTTCGCCCACACTCCCCACAAACATACGGCTTCTCCCCTGTGTGTGGCCTCTCCTGTGTGATGAGACTTGACTTGTCCTTGGAGCCTTGCCCACACTCTCTGTATGTGACTTTCATCATCCCTGAGACTCCTGCCCCTGTGAGCAATGTGCCTGTGTCCTCCAGATTCAGTGTCTGGCTTGTGCTGGGCTCTTCTTTCATTCTGTCATACACCCCAGAACCCCCCATTTGTCCTCCGGGTGAGTAGGAAGAGGCCCTTGAAATCCTCTTCAGCCTTATGCTTTTCAGCAAAGGTTTGGGCCTGTCCTTGGCCTCCTGACCCTCAGGTTTGTTGCTTGGGCTGTGTGGATCTGAATATCGCTGATTTTGATAGCCTGGGCAGGGATCCTCAGGTTGGAGGGGGTCTATTTCAGATGGCCTCAGGAGGGTCTGAGAGGGGTGACTGCGTTGGATGTGTTGGCTGAGGAATTTCTGACTGGAGAAGGCCAGAGAGCAGGAGGCACATGGGTGGATCTCGGGCTTTGGTTCTGCTGAAAGAGGAAGCTATTGGTCAGGTAGCTGGTTTGCCATGATCAGGCCCTCCCCACTAATCATCTAAGTGTTGAAGTGCACGATTTGTCTCCCATCAAGTGTCTTTACAGTCCACTTTTCCACTCCACTCTTATTCTCTACATCTACAGAAATCCAGGAAGCTGGTGTCAAGGGCCTTTTCTACATATCACCCAGATAGGGACCTTCTAGCAGCATCAGAGGCAGCGTCTCTCCTGATAGAGGTGGATCTGCAGGGACTTTCCCTGTGTGTAAGTGTCTGAAAAGTCACGTCACAGTGGCCACAGGTGTTTTACCCTACTGACAGATAAGATTTGATGACTCAGGTGGAATCTCCTGAGAGGCTCACTGTGAGTGGAAAGGGTCTATTAAGTTAAGGGCGCTTGGCCTAGAGCTCTCTGCATATGGGAGGGAGCACAGGGGGTGGTTACAGCAGGTGTGGGTAAATCTGACTTTGTGGCTCCTTGTTCAAAGAGCAGCCTTTGTGCCGATCTCTGCAGGAAGTAGGTTTGAGACTGGACAAGACCGAGTGGCCCAGGTCCCACTGACTACAGGTCTCTGGCTTCTGCTGTCCCAACAGGTTCAAAATTGCTCCTCTCTCAGTTTCCCACAAATCATAAAATAAAGGCATATCCTTTCTCAACCCTCACCAATACTCATACCTCATTTATTTCATTCAGGTTTAGTCCATTTTACATGCACTAGGAAGCCCTATTTATTTTTTATTTTTATTTATTTTTATTTTTTTTTTCACTTATTTTTATTAGTTGGAGGCTAATTACTTTACAGCATTGCAGTGGTTTTTGTCATACATTGAATTAGCCATGGATTTACATGTATTCCCCATCCCGGTCCCCCCTCCCACCTCCCTCTCCACCCCATCCCTCTGGGTCCTCCCATCAAGTGTCTTTACAGTCCACTTTTCCACTCCACTCTTATTCTCTACATCTACAGAAATCCAGGAAGCTGGTGTCAAGGGCCTTTTCTACATATCACCCAGATAGGGACCTTCTAGCAGCATCAGAGGCAGTGTCTCTCCTGATAGAGGTGGATCTGCAGGGACTTTCCCTGCGTGTAAGTGTCAGAAAAGTCACGTCACAGTGGCCACAGGTGTTTTACCCTACTGAGAGATAAGACTTGATGACTTAGGTGGAATCTCCTGAGAGGCTCCCTGTGAGGGGAAAGGGTCTATTAAGTTACGGGCGCTTGGGCTGGAGCTCTCTGCATATGGGAGGGAGCACAGGGGGTGGTTAGAGCAGGTGTGGGTAAATCTGACTCTGTGGCTCCTTGTTCAAAGAGCACACTTTGTGCCAATCTCTGCAGGAAGTAGGTTTGAGACTGGATGAGACCGAGTGGCCCAGGTCCCACTGACTGCAGGTCTCTGGCTCCTGCTGTCCCAACAGGTTCAAAATTGCTCCTCTCTCAGTTTCCCATAAATCATAAAATAAAGGCATATCCTTTCTCAAGCCTCACCAGTACTCATACCTCATTTATTTCATTCAGGCTTAGTCCATTTAACATACAATAGGAAGCCCTATTTAAAAATACATCTCCAGTAAGACTCTTCACATCCTCACTCCCAAGCATCTTTAGCCAGCCCACTGTCCCCTCATGTCTGGCAATGAACTGACCTCTGAGGGGACTCCCCGCTGCTGTCTCTTCCCAGAAGTGAACCAAAGCATCGTGTGAGCACAGAGAACATGCCGCTTGCAGCTGAAAGCCTCGCGGCTGTTCTGTGTCACCCAGGAGGACCCCTGGGGCCTGCACGTGGACACAGGCCCTGAGGCTTGCGTGTCCCGTCCAGCCTCCTTCCCCTCCCTCTGTGCTTCCTCCCCCGACCCCTGGCATGGCCTCTCTTCCTGGCCCTGGGGCTGCGGCACTGGCTGCTCCCCTGAATGGAATCCTTTCCCGCAGGTGTTATCTCTGCAGAGACCCTGCCGCACTGTCCTGCGCCACACCCCACCCTCTGCTCACACTGACCCGAGGCACGTTCCCTGCGCTGGTTTTCCTCAGAGCACCAACCCCTGTCTGGTATGAAGCCCCTGCTGCCCCAGGGCAGTGGTTCTGTCTGTTTGGGTGCGTGGAGCCCCGTCTGGCACAGAGTATGAACTCACATGACAACAAACTGGAACAGCAACTGAATGCACATCACTGTACATGTGTGCACCCCAGTGTTCATCGCAGCACTGTTTATAAAAGCCAGGACGTGGAAGCAACCTAGATGCCCATCAGCGGACGAATGGATAAGGAAGCTGTGGTACATATACACCATGGAATATTACTCAGCCATTAAAAAGAATGCATTTGAATCAGTTCTAATGAGATGGATGAAACTGGAGCCCATTATACAGAGTGAAGTAAGCCAGAAAGATAAAGTCCTGGTGCACTGGGAAGACCCAGAGGGATTGGGTGGAGAGGGAGGTGGGAGGGGGGATCGGGATGGGGAATACATGTAAATCCATGGCTAATTCATGTCACTGTATGACAAAAACCACTATAATATTGTAAAGTAATTAGCCTCCAACTAACAAAAATAAATGAAATAAAGAAAAAATTAAAAAATACTGATGGCTAAGGAATTCCACTTACTTTCTTTAAATTGGCAGATGTCATTCATAAATTTCCTAGTGTGACTCTTCCAATATCTTTGTCCTATAAATATTTGAAAATAAAATGTCTTTATTTTAGTTAAAAACAATTAATGGGAGGAATTAAGGAAGAAAGAGGTAAAGGGCAGAGAGTTAGTAGGTGTTAGAAAACTTGCATTTTGCTCCTAAGCCTGTCAGCAGAAGGTGATGTTACATATTATTTTGCATGAAATATTAAAAATTAGAGCTAGCATTTTTAATATAAAAATTTTTCCTAACAATCATATGAAAAGAATCAAATTCTGAGGCATTTTAACTGCAACTCAACTGACTTTGGACTGGATTGTACTCTGCTTTGAAATTGGACCATGGAGGCTCCCAGGAGGGGGTGGGGTGCTGGAAGAGGGCTGACACTCACCTCTGCCGGTCGCAAGCTCACTCTTTCCCCTGCTGTTCCGCTTGATGCCAAGGTGCTGACCATACTCGTCCCCGTACCAGACCAGCAGCTCACAGCCCGGCCTGACCACCTGGCAGGTTCGGTAGAAGATCTGCCCGTGATACTGGAAGGCCACCAGGTTCTGCTCCTTGTCGTCCCGAGCACAGTTCACATACCTGGCATCGAGGCCGGGAAAGGCAAAGAAACCTCAGGTGATGACTGCCCTCCACTCTCCGACCATGCCCAGCTCCTTGCCTTCCGCCTCTGAGGCCTCGCCTCATGTGCTCTCTCTGTTCACACTTTCGACCAGGCCATCTGAGTTCCCATGCTTTTCTCTCCTTACCTAACTAGCCATTTTCCAGAGCCCAGTTCCAGACTCATCTCCACCTGGACTGTCAGTGAGGTTGGTGACCTCCAGCTCCTCTAAACTCTGAATTAAGTTCTCTTTCATCCACAGGACTTGGTGCTTCTTGGCTAGCACGCAGCCCTCAGCACTCACCCCAGCCTGCCTTCTCTCCCGAGGCTTTCTCCCATCTCCCCACGTGTATCCAGGGTCCTATTCGCTTGCCCACCCCCTCCCACGGAAACTTGGGAGTAAGCTCTGATATAGCTTGAGACACGGAACAGTAATAGTTTGTTCACTGTCTGCCTGCCCTGATAAAAGGAGAGGCCCTCAGAGAATGGCCTGTTCAGGGCCATCCTGCCCCCCATTCCATCCGAGGCCTCAGGGCCCATGTCTCACTGGAACCAAGCCTTAGGAGGTTGTTGCCCACAAACAGTCAAGGTCTCCTGTGTTATGTTACCATGGCGCTGTGCACTTACTCAAAGATAGAAAAAATAAGGTTATTGTTCCTAAAATCAATAGGCTAATGTCTGTTTGCAGTATGTTCTCCAAAAGGACATAGGTTGTGTGATCTGCTGCAATAATGAAGTGCACTGTCTGGATTGAAACAAAGTGCGTGGTAAGTTTCCATTAAGTGAGTTAAGTGTCCCTGGTGAATCTAGACTCCTCAAGTTGTTTTCAAGTTAACCAGTTTTGGTCAGCATACACACTTGTATCTTGATGGCATATGCCATATTTTTATTTCCTTCTTGCTAGTGTCTTTTGAAATGAAAGTGCATGATATGGAGGGAAAAGAGGAAAGAAGATGTGAAAGATGTTTAGGGAGGCGGGTTGAGAAGAAAAGGGGCGTGGGATTGAGGGAGTATCAATGTCTACACATTGCAGACTCACGGCACTCACCTCATCCAGTTGGCCCAAGACGTGTCCTTTCCATCCACATACTCGAAGCAGTTCCTCCCTTTAGTGATCTGAGTGTCAGAAAAAGAGTTAAAAGATTTCCTCTTTTTTTTTTTTTTTTTATTAGTAGGAACCAATAGAAGAGCTATTTCCCTCTGTAGTCATAGGTGCTTTTCAGCCTGCATGGATTCAACTGCCAGTTGGACTATATGGTAAGCTCCTTACTCACCATTCCAAGCCTGAGTCTCTTGGTTCATTGAAGGCAAGGCTGCACAAGGGGAGAGTCACTTCTGTGTGTCTTTATACTGTGTTCCCACCTCTCCTCTGAGCTTTAGATAGAAGTCCTGTGAGTGTGTACCAAGGTGTTCCCTCCTCTTCTCTGACCTTTACATAGAGGTTCTGAAGTCTCTACACTGTGGTCCCAGCTCTCCTCTGACCTTTAGATGGAAGTCCTGTGTTCACGCCCAGGGCACACAGTACACAGCACTGACTGTATCATTCCCGACCATGTTATCACCATCTTTGTCCTCGCATGTAGACACGAAGTACCCCCACAACATACAAGTGATTAGAGGCCAGAGGACAGGGAAACGGGTGCTTCTCACCTGCCAGGCATATCCACTTTTGGCGGCCTCTTCATCGTCTGTGATCTGGCCCTCGTAGGGGCCAAAGTGCAGGCCCCGCGGCAGATCGGATGCCTCGTTCCACACTCCAAGCCCAGCGTCAGGGATGCCCGACAGTCTGATGCTTAATCCAGGGGGCAGAGTGAGGGCTGAGCGATTGGCATGCCCCTTTTGCACTGCACAGTCCTTTACAAAGGTTGGGGGCCCGTGGGAAGCACAGCTGTCAATGAAGAAGTTCTGACACTCTTCACAATCTGGAGGTGAGAACAGGGATGAGAGGAGGTATAGTGATGTTGCTGGTCGTAACGACCTTCAGAAAGAACTGGGGCATTCATGGCATTTGGCCTCGATCCTGCACCCCAAGTCATAGAGGAAGGGGATGATCGGGGGACCAAATGGTGAGCTGAGGTTAGTGGACCAAGGCCTCGTAGCCCCTTCTCCGTGGGTGGGCCTGCGGGGACACTCACAGAGGTAGTCGTCATCCTGGGGCTCGCTGACCTCTTGGTACACGTGGCCCTTTCTTTCTCGCAGACTGTACCTCTTCACTCCAGTCTCCTTTTCTCTGAGTTCTAAGATGGAAAACAGAAGCTAAGCAAGGCTGGTGCGGTCTGGGGAGTTAGTACCTGTTTTATCAGAAAGTGTAAGATCTCCTACCTGTCCATCTATACACTTTGTTAAAACTTTCTTACATGTATTTTTCAAACTTTTACTTTTCTAATTTTCTGTTTTCATGTTGCATTATTTATTTCTTGTCCACACTGCATGGCTTGTGGGATCTTAGTTCCCTGACCAGGAATGGAACCCACACCTCCTGGAGTGGAAGCGTGGAGCCTTAACCACTTAATCCCAAGGAAGTCCCTTCTCTATACTTTGTTTTTTGTCCCTTTAACTACAGGTTCAGGATACTGAGGCTCCACTGACCACAGATGCCCAGGTTAGAGATAGTGTCCTGCAATTCCCATTAGTAGGTTTAATTTCCAAACCTTGCTACTTGGGAAATAGTTCACTGACACATCTACTCAGAAAATATATGTTCAGGGTACATGACACATAAGGCATTGAGCAGAGCTCTGGGCATAAACACTAATAAAGGACGGTTCCCAGTATCACAGCTGGATTTATTGAACTACTTGTAGGTGTCAGACTTTTGCTTTTAATGTAAGGCTTTCAAGCACTGTATGAGTTATGTATCCTTATCTTCACTTTAGACATAGCAATCAGGACCTCAGAAAATCTATAAGATTTTCCCAAGGCCCCAGTGCTAACTTCATGTCTCAGATCAGTCCAGCTTAAACCCCCGCCTACCCAAAGTCCATGCCACACACCTAGGCCATACTTGTTAGTTTTTCTACAGGGATTAGAGGAACTAATTAGAGGAACTCCCCAAAATTTCTCTTACCGGATTTTTGTCTGGGGTGTTGTCCAGGGGTCCTTGCTTTTCTGTGATGGGGCACTGGTTTCTTAGCCTGCGTGGAGCCACTTGTCTTCAGTGATTTTGCTGCTCCTGGCAACTCCTTCGAACTAGATTCCTTACTTAATGGTGCCCTGGACATTCTCTTCCATGTGAGTAAAAGACACATGCATTTCTTTAGTTCTTTAGGGCTTTATGAAGTGTTTTCACATGCATGACTTTAGTTAATACTTTGACAATTCTTGGAAAATCTTGATTTGGGGGGCGGGGTACTGAACACTGGAGTGTATAAAAAGGACCTAGTTGGAGAGTGAATCAAAACTAGAATTCATATCTTAAGGTTCTTCCCTTTTCACTTTCAGCATAAAAGTGAGAGCAAGGGAGGGATAATAGTTGGAGGTCAGGGAAAGAAGAGGGTAAGGGCTCCTAGAGAGATCTGGGGGTTTCTATTAATTACTGGAGCTTTGATAGACGAGGAAGTATGGAAAATTACAGAGGGGACAAAGCACATGTGGAAGATAAGGTGACAAAGCAGTGAGATTGAGAAGAGAAAAGATGATTGGCAGAAACACATTTAGATAATAAAGAAAATGAGATGAAAGTTGCAGGTTGCCATGTCCTAGAGACAATGTTTGGAATTAAAGTAGCTGGTCTCATCCGTTCTCCTTGAACAAGGCTGTATGACTAGCTGGTTCTACTTAGTTTCCTGATCCATTAATTGGTATACAAGCTAATTCTTAATATTATAGTGGACATGAAATTTAATAACCTTCAACAAATTGTTGTGTGAGCTATTTAATACAGTAAGAACATGAGCGTACATCCCTGGTATCGATTTACTGCCTAAACGGCATTTATATTTGACATCTAGCTCACAGATACTATTTTCAGCATTCTTTGACCTTTCTACTCCTAGATGCATGCTTAAATGTGGAGTCACTCATTCAGAAAACATTCAGGGGGCCATCAGGGGCTTTGAGCTGGGCCTGGACTTCAGAGAATGAATGGGTGTGGGCTAGGCTCTCAAAGCTCACAACACAGGGGCAGGCTAAACAAATGATTCCAAACAGGAGAGTTGCTAATTAGAGCTCAGAGGAAGGAGTTGTTACTCCCTCCTACAAGAATGAGCATTTGAAATGATGCCCAGATGTTGAGTTTCTACTCAAAAGCAGGTAATCTATGTGAAGTCCTTCTGTTATTTTCTTATTTGTTGCTTTTCAGTCATAAACCTGATGCTTATCAGGGTTGTGAGCTGCTACCTCTTATTGGAGTGGGAGACTCTGAGGTAGGGATCCTGTCTCCTTCTTCATCGTGGACTGCAAACTGCCCGGCATGTCCTTAAGCTTCTTCATCTTGGACTGTTCACTCTAGAAACTGCCCAGCATGTCCTTATCTTCTTCTTCGTGGACCATCCATTCTACAGACTGCCCAACATGTCCTTAAGCTTCTTCATCTTGGACCATCCACTCTACAAACTGCCCAGCATGTCCTTAAGCTTCTTCATTTTGGACTGTACACTCTACAAACTGTCCAGCATATCCTTAAGCTTCTTCATCTTTTACTGTCCACTCAACAAACTGCCCAGCATGTCCTTCAGCTTCCCTTAGTCAGATGCCTTAGCATATCCCTCCCTAGCACCGCACAATAGAACTGAGGTTGAAAACATCTCTCAGATGAATGATATAAAGATGTATGAATAAGCTTCATAGAACTATGGAAGTTTTAATCAGTTTGTAAGGGGTTTAGAGAACATGCATTGGTTTAGATGACACTACCAGTGATACTGTGATCTCAGGCATATAATGAAATGTTTTTTTACCTCATTTTTTGGATCTATAATGGTGATAGCTATATGCCTACTTATAGGTACTGTAGGATTGATTTAAGGTTTAAGTAAGTTTATTCACATAAAATGCTTAAAGTCTGAAATATTATGAAAATAATGTAACAACAGAACAGCCTACTACTGTTGTTGTTCTTACTAACTGTAGAGATGGTGATGATATCTGACATTGTGCTAATGATTCAGGACAGGAAGGCAGCAGTCTCCAGGATTTCTGTGTTTTCTGCTATTTTCACCTGTGACTGGATCCATGAGGAGGATATTTTTGCAACAGGATTTGGGAAATACTCACCTTCTTGTGTTTAGTGTGCTCCACTCTGAAGGCCACTGAAGAAAGTTTACCTAAAGAATGATGAGAATCAGTGTTTTGGTTGGTAAATGTTTCAAAACTCTGGGCTTTCTTTTTATTTATTTATTTTTATTAGTTGGAGGCTAATTACTTCACAATATTGTAGTGGCTTTTGTCATACATTGACATGAATCAGCCATGGATATACATGTATTCCCCATCCCGATCCTTGGGTGTGGGCTAGGCTCTCAAAGCTCACAACACAGGGGCAGGCTAAACAAAAGATTCCAAACAGGAGAGTTGCTAATTAGAGCTCAGAGGAAGGAGTTGTTACTCCCTCCTACAAGAATGAGCATTTGAAATGATGCCCAGATGAGGAGTTTCTACTCAAAAGCAGGTAATCTATGTGAAGTCCTTCTTTTATTTTCTTATTTGTTGCTTTTCAGTCATAAACCTGAGGCTTATCAGGGTTGCAAGTTGCTTCTTCTTATTGGAGTGGGAGGCTCTCAGGTAGGGATCCTGTCTCCTTCTTCATCTTGGACTGTGCACTCTAGAAACTGCCTGGCATGTCCTTAAGTTTCTTCATCTTGGACCATCCATTCTACAGACTGCCCAGCGTGTCCTTAAGCTTCTTCATCTTGGACTGTCCACTCTACAAACTGCCCAGCATGCCCTTAAGTTTCTTCATTTTGGACTGTCCACTCTACAAACTGCCCAGCATGTCCTTAAGCTTCCCTTAGTCAGATGTCTTAGAATATCCCTCCCTAGCACAGCACAAAAGAACTGAGGTTGAAAACATCTCTCAGATGAATGATATAAAGATGTATGAATAGGCTTCATAGAACCATGGAAGTTTTAATCAGTTTCTAAGGGGTTTAGAGAACGTGCATTGGTTTAGGTTGCACTACCAGTGATACTGTGATCTCAGGCATATAATCAAATGTTTTTTACCTCATTTTTTGGATCTATAATGGTGATAGCTATATAACTACTTATAGGTACTGTAGGATTGATTTAAGGTTTAAGTAAGTTTATTCACACAAAATACTTAAAGTCTGAAATATTATGAAAATAATGTAACAACAGAACAGCCTACTACTGTTGTTGTTCTTACTAACTGTAGAGATGGTGATGATGTCAGACATTGTGCTAAAGATTCAGGACAGGAAGGCAGCAGTCTCCAGGATCTCTGTGCTTTCTCCTATTCTCACCTGTGACTGAATCCATGAGGAGGATATTTTGGCAACAGGATTTGGGAAATACTCACCTTCTGGTGTTTACTGTGCTCCACTCTGAAGGCCATCGGAGAAGGTTTACCTAAAGAATGATGAGAATCAGTGTTTTGGTTGGTAAATGTTTCCAAACTCTGGGTATTCTAATTAAGGACACATAATTCTAAGCCAGAGAGTGACAAAGACAATGATTACCAAAGGAGTAATGGAAGATGATTTCTGTATCATCAACTCCCATGGTTCCACTGGGAGCATTACATAATTTTCTTAAAATTAAAAAAAAAAAAAACATTAAACTTCATCTGGGCCTCATCTGATGTTCATAAAGTATCTAATAAATTTACTAGTGTTTCATGACAAAAGGACTCAACAATGTAGAAATAGAAGGAAGTGACTGCAATATAGTAAAGGTCATATATTGAAAGTCTACCTCTAACATCATAGTCATCAGTGAAAATATCAAGAAAAAAGCCAAGGATGCCCGTTATCAACATTTCTGTTCACCATAATACTAGAAGTCCTAGCCAGGGGTTTAGGTTAGAAATGGAAACAAAAGGCTTCCATTTGGAAGGAAAGAATGAAATTACGTCTGTTCACAGGGGCATGGTTTTATGTGCAGAAAAATCTTTAAATCCACACACACAAAAAACCTGCACAGAAAGTTGCACGGTACAAAATCAACATTCAAATATCTTTCCATGCATGGAGAATGACCATTCCACAAATGAAAATAAGAAAACAATGCTGTTTATTTTTCATTTTTTAAAAGCTACAGTCAAGAGCTAAATTTAAAAAAATATATTTATTTTTATTTATTTGTTTGTTCCAGGTCTTTGTTGCAGCATGTGGGATCTAGTTCCCTGACTAGGGACTGAGCCCAAGTTATCTGCATTGGGAGTGTGGAGTCTTAGCCACTGGACAAAAAATCTTATTTATAATAGCATTGAATAGATGAAGTAATTAGGAATAAACTTAAGGAGATGAAAGACTTATATGTTGAAAACTACAAAATATTGCTGAAAGATATCTGACATAAATAAATAGATAGGTGTCTCATGTTTGTGGATTTGGAGGCTTAATATTATTAAGCTGTTCATACTACCCAAAGCAATTTAAAGATTCAATGCAATTCCTATTAAAATCCCAATGGAATTTTTTTCAGATATAGAAAATCCATCCAACAGTTAACACGGAATCTCAGAGCCCCCCAAATAGGCAAAGCAATCTTAGAAAGAACAGCAAAGTTGGAGGCCTCAGATTTCAGAACATACTACAAAGGTACAGGAACCAAAAGAGTGTAGATTTGGGAAAAAATATGTGCTTAGTCGCTCAGTCTTCTTGACTTTTTGTGACCTTTTGGGCTGTAGCCCACCAGGCTCCTCTGTCCAGGGGATTTCTCAGGCAAGAATACTGGACAGGGTTGCCATTTCCTTCTCCGAATACTGGACAGGGTTGCCATTTCCTTCTCCAGGGGATCTTCTTAACCCATGGATTGAACCTGCATCTCCTGTGTCTCCTGCACTGAAGGCAGATTCTTCCCCTGCTGAGCCACTGAGGAAGCTGGCTGGCATAAAGACAGATATGTCAATCAATGGAACAGAATAGACAGCCAGAAGTAAACTCTTGGATACATGGTCTAATGCTCTTCATCAAAGGTGTCAAGACATCAGGGAAAGTTTAATCCCTGTAATGAATGGTCCTGGGGAAACAAACTATCCATATGCAAAATAACGAAGATTTTACATCATGAAGAAAAATCAATTCAGAATGGATTAAAGACCTAAATGTAAGACTTGATAAGACTCTTAGAAGAAAATAAGGGTGAAGCTTCATGACACTGAATCAGCAACGAATTCTTAGATCTGATACCAAGTGCAGAAGTAGTAACAACGTAAAAATAGACAAATGAGACTACATTAACCTTAAAACCTCTGTGCAGCAAAAGACACAGAGTGAAACAAGAGGAACAGAGTGAAACAAAGGAAAGGATTGAACAGACCACCTACAGGATGGCAGAAAATATTTGTACAATATGTATCTGATAAGAGGTTGATAAGCATACACCAATATGAAGGCTACCTATAAGCCAGGAAAAGAACCAGATTGACCACGATGGCACCCTGATATCAAATTTCCATGCTCCAGAATTGGAATAAAACAATTCTGTGGTTTAAGCCATGCAGTCTGTTTTGTTATGGCAGCCTGAGCTGACTAACACAGTGGGAGAAGGAACTGAACAAACATTTCTCCAAAGAAGAAACACAAATGGCCAACAAACATACGAAAAGATGCTCAATATTACTAATCAATAGGGAAATACAAATTTAAACCACACCATAAATTATCTCATACCTTCTGTGATGGCCAATATGAATAAAAAGACAATAGCAAGGTTGGTAAGGATTTGGAGAAATTGGAACCCTTATACACTTTTGTTGGAAATGTAAAATGTTGCAACCTTTATAGAAAACAGTATGGAGTTTCCTCAGAAAATTGGAACTGCTGTATGATCTAGCAACCCAACTCTAGAGTATACTTCCATAAAAATTGAAAGTGAGATCTTGTATAAATAGTGTGCACATCTATGGTCATTGCAGCATTATTCCCAATTGGCAAGATGTGAAAAGCAGTCTAAATGTTCATTGGTGGATAAACAGATAAAGATTATATATACCTTATATATATTATATACACATGCACACAATGGAATGTTTTGAAGCCCTAAAAAATAATTTTGTCATATGCTACATCAAGGATGGGCCTTGATGATATTATGCTAAGTGAAATGAACCCATCAAAAAATGACAAATATTGCATGATTCCACTTTTATGAGGTATCTACAGTAATCAAATCCATGGAAACAGAAAATATAATTCTGGTTGCCAAGTCTGTGAGGAGGAAGAATTGGAGAATTGTTGCTCAATGGGTATAGGACTTCAATCATGCACGATGAAAATTTTCTACAGACTTGCTGTAGAGCAATGTGTACACAGTTAGCAAGAGTGTACCCTACACTCAGAAATTGTTAAGAAGGTCAATAAAGTTCTGTAGGGGTATGGTGAACCATGGGGTATGTGTTCCCTATGAAGTATCTCTCTTCATGTCAAAACCTATGGTTTTGATGTCTCTTACACTAGTTTTAATAACCTAAGGGAAGAGATGGATTTCCCTGGTGGCACAGTGAATGAGAATCTGCCTGCTGATGCAGAGGGCACAGGTTCGACCGCTGGTCCAGGAAGATTCCACTTTGTGTGGGGCAACTAAGCCTGTGTGTCACAAACTACTGAGCCTGCATGTGCTCTGCAATGAGAAGCCAGTCATGCAACCAGAGAAAGCCCCTGCACAGCAGTGAAGACCCAGTGCATCCAAAATTAAATAAATAATTTTTTTAAATCTGGGAGGACAGAAATCCATAGATGGAGAATCATAGAATGATCTAAAATATTTTCTCCAGTCTAGGCAGATTACCTCTTCTAAACTCTTTGAGCAGCAGAAGAGAAAGAGAGCTGCTCACTTCTATTTTATAATGAGTGTACTTCATTTTTATTTACCTGATGCTGTCTCTTGTCAGTGAAATGTGGGAAAGATCAGGGAGAATAAATAGTTCTCTCAAGTCCTTTCCCAGAATTGAAACAAAGAATTAGTTTCACCTTAGGGTAAGAAGATCATGTGGTGTTATTTTATATACATACATACATAATGTATCTTATCATAATATGTTAATAGTTTCCTCTTCTAAGATATTTGATCCAATAACTGATTTATTATGAAATTAGTATTATGAATCTCTTTGGCAAATTTATAGTCTAAGCTTTCTTTAATTGCCTTTCATTAACAATGTTTAGGAAAACTAATTCTTTTTAAAAAGAATCATAAATTTTAAACATAAAACTTTTGAGAATTACACTGGAAAACCTATATTTTCACCTTCATTCAGGCTGATGTCAATATTCGGTCACAACTACTTCAGAATGCTGGAAATTATGTTTTCTTTGCTAATGTCTGAGATGCAGTTAAGACCTAAGCCCAGGCTGGTTTCAGGAAGACACTTTTAAATCATCCTGGCCCCTCACCTTGCTGCCTTGGTGTCCATTCTTCATCAGAATCCTCAGTGTCATTTACCTGGGATTTGATGACCTGCCTACGGTGATGCATGAAAGCTGGTTGAGGGGCTCAGAGACCTGGAAAGAAGCAAAATACTTGTACTAAGAAGGAGGCACAGAGCAAAGAAGCAATGGGAAGTGTCACAAAGTCAGGGGAATCGGTAGATGGGCTAGGAGAATGTAGGACAAGGCAAGAGGTGAGCTCTGCACTTCAGGGTCAACCTCCCTTTGGTACAAAACTATAAACATTTCCTCCAGGTTAGCCTCTACACAAAAGGAAACTGAGCAGATGAAGCCACTTAAGAGCAGGCCAAGTGAACACTGAGGGTGAAGACCTGTTTCATGTTTCCCAGGCTCACAGGCACCCAGCACTTCCTGTTACCTATAGCAATCAGCACTGCATAGTTCCTTTCCACATTCCTATATCAGATGTTTCCCCATTCTGCCATCTCTGCCCATTCTTCCTTGGAGAAGTATATGGAAATGTCTTTGAAAGCATCTTTGGCCTAAGGAAAATAATAGATTTCATCAGTTGTTTACTGATATAAGTCAGACTTCAGAGCTGGGCCTTCTCCTCCACCTTTTGTGCAGGGAGTAGCCTGAACCTAATGGATGGTCTCTGTGAGACAGGGATGAAGACTTCTCTTCCTGGCTGTGTCCTACTTAACTGAGAAAACACTGAGCATTTTCCTAACTCTCCCTGGACACAGAGCAGTTGGCAATGCTAGTATCCTGGTTTGTCCCACTCTACCCCACCATCTCAGACAGGACAAGCATTCCCATCCTGTGTACGTTCACAGAGAAGTTCACTCAACTGTCCAAGCAAGTAGTCTGTGGTCTTTCAGGGACCAGCTCCATATCCTTCCTGTAGAGCTGGTGTAGAGTTGGGCATTGCTGCCTCTGCCTCTCACTGTGGGCTTCCACTCTGTTCTCCCAGCATCTCCCCCAGTACTCTCCTCTGGAGACCTGCGCACGGTCATGGGACTGCATCAGGGTCAAGGTGCCTGTGGAAGAAGAAGATGCTGAGAAAGCCCAGACCACTGTCTAGAGCCTGGTCTGTCTTCCTTGGGTGGAGTGTCCAGGGCAGGAAGGTGAGGGGAAAGTCAGGGTGAGGGTATTGGTGGGAAGGACAGATCCTGACCAGCTATGACAGACCAGCCTAATGTAAATTAGATTTGGCTTCTTTTGATCTCTGACAGTTTGGCCGCTCTGAGAAACGGCACTGGGAGGGATGTGTCTGTGGGTGGTGGAGGGAGTCTAGAGGAGACCTGGAAGGCTGTAACTTCTAGACTGGGGTCAGGTTGAAAACAGGGCTCTGTTCCAGTGCAGGAGAGGGAATATTTCTCCAAGAAGGGTTTTGAGAATCTCTGTCTGGGGACTCAGAAAAATCTGGGCATAAGATGGGATCTATGTCTAAGGGACAAGTCACTTGACTTGAGGAGATCTGGGTCACAAGGGCTGAAGGAACTGGGGTCCTCAGATGGTAAGGATTGGGGATCTTTCAGCTGAGCTATTTCAAATCCTAAAAGACGTTGCTGTGAAAGTGCTGCTCTCAATATGCCAGCAAATTTGGAAAACTCAGCAGTGGCCACAGTACTGTCAAAGTTCAGTTTTCATTCCAATCCCTAAGGCAACGTCAAGCAATGCTCAAACTACTACACAATTGCATGCATCTCACACACTAGTAAAACAGTGCTCAAAATTCTCCAAGCCAGCCTTCAACAGTACGTGAACCATGAACTTCCAGATGTTCAGTTTGGATTTAGAAGAGGCAGAGGACCAGAGATCAAATTGGAACATCTTTTTGATCATCAAAAAGCAAGAGAGTTCCAGAAAAACATCTAATTCTGCTTTATTGACTATGCCAAAGACTTTGAGTGGATCACAACAAACTTTGGGAAATTCTTCAAGAGACAGGAATACCAGACCACCTGATCTTCTTCTTGAGAAACCTGTATGCAGGTCAGGAAGCAACAGTTAAAACTGGACATAGAACAGACTTGTTCCAAATAGGGAAAGGAGTACATCAAGGTTGTATATTGTCACCCTGCTTATTTAACTTATATGCAGAGTACCTCATGAGAAACACTGGCCTGAATGAAGCACAAGCTGGAATCAAGATTGCTGGGAGAAATGCCAATAATCTCAGATATGCAGATGACATCACCCTTATGCAGAAAGTGAAGAACTAAAGAGCCTCTTGATGAAAGTGAAAGAGGAGCGTGAAAATGTTGGCTTAAGACTCAACATTCAGAAAACTAAGATCATGGCATCTGGTCCCATCACTTCATGGGAAATTGATGGGGAAAGAGTGGAAACAGTGACAGATTTTATTTTTAGGGCTCCAAAATCACTGCAGATGGTGACTAAATCCATGAAATGAAACGATGATTACTCCTTGGAAGAAAAGTCATGACCAATGTAGACAGCAAATTAAAAATCAGAGACGTCACTTTGCCAACAAAGATCTGTGTAGTCAATGCTATGGTTTTTCCAGTAGTAATGTATGGATGTATGAGTTGGACTACAAAGAAAACTGAGTGCTAAAGAACTGATGCCTTTGAACTGTGGTATTGGAGAAGACTTGAGAATCCCTTGGACTGCAAGGAGATCCAACCAGTCCATCCTAAAGGAAATCAGTTCTAAATATTCATTGGAAGGACTGATGGTGAAGCTGAAATTCCAATACCTTAGCCACCTGATGGGAAGAATTAACTCATTCGAAAAGAGCCTGATGCTGGGAAAGATTGAAATCATGGGGAGAAGAGGTCAACAGAGAATGAGATGGTTGGATGTCATCACCAACTTGAACACGAGTTTGAGTAAACTCCAGGAGTTGGTGATGGACAGAGAGGCCAAGTGCACTGCAGTCCACAGGGTTGCAAATAGTCGGACAAGACTGAGCGACTGAACTGACTGACTGAAGGAGAGCTGAGCTAATGATAGCTATCCTGAGGAGGGCTGTGCTAAGGAGAGTTGAACTATGGAGAACTGAGGTAAGGAGAGCTAAGCTAATGAGAGGAGAGTGGTGTTAAGGAAATCTAAGCTAAGGAGAGTCGAGCTAATCATAGTTATATCAAGGAGGGCTGAGCTAAGGAAAGCTGAGCTAAGGAAAGTTATGGAGAGCAGAGCTAATGATAGCTATCCCAAGGAGGGCTCCACTAAGGACAGCTAGGAGGGCTGAGCTTTGCAGAGCTAAACTAAGGAGAGCTAAGTTAAGGAGAGCTACGGACAGCTGAGTTAAGGAGAGCTGAGCTAAGGAGAGCTAAGTTAAGGAGAGCTACGGACAGCTGAGTTAAGGAGAGCTGAGCTAAGGAGAGCTAAGCTAAGGGGAGTTAAGATAAGGTGGGCTGAGCCAAGGAGAGTGAGGAGACACCAAGTTTGGTGGCTTCTCTGGCTAATTCTACTCTAATATACAACCCCCTAATATACAACAAAGCATGACAAAAACACTAAGACAACAGTAGCCATCCTAAAAGAGGAGGGAATAAATCATCCTTGCAGCATGGAGGCTTTTCTCTGTAACCGCAGCCTTCAAACTATTGCTGATGTCCATCTGATATTCACAAGGCCTTAGTTCTCTCCAACCCTTTCCCAGAATCAAAATAAAGAATTAGTTTAACCTTAGGGTAAGAAGATCATGGGTTTTGTTTTATATACATACATAAATAATGTATCTTGACATAATATGTTAATCATTTCCTCTTTGAAGAGATTTAATCCAATAAGCAATGAGATTAGTATTAAATCTGTTTGATGAATTATTTGTAAGGTTTCTTTAACTTCCTTTCACTAAGAATATTTAGCAAAAATAATTTGTTTTAAAAAGAATGATAAATTTTAACCATAAAACTTTTGAGAATTACATTGGAAAACCTATATATTCACCTTCATTCAGGCTTATGTAAATATTTGGCCACAACCACTTCGAAATGCTGAAAATTATGTTTTCTTTGCTACTGGCTGAGATGTAGTTCAGACCTAAGCCTAGCCTGGTTTCAGGAAGATACCCCAAATCCTCCTGGCCCCTCACCTTGCTGCCTTGGTGTCCATTCTTCATCAGAATCCTCAGTGTCATCTACCTGGGGCTTCATGACCTGCCTGCGGTGATGCATGAAATCTGGTCGAGTGGCTCTGAAACCTGGAAAGAAGCAAAGTATTTGTTCTAAGGAGAAAGAAAGCATAGAAGCAATGGAAAGTGTCACAAAGTCAAGGAAATCTGTAGGATGGGCTGGAAGAATCTAGAATAAGGCAAGAGGTGAGCTCTGCACTGCAGGGTCAACCTCCCTTTGACAAAACTGTAAACATTTCCTCCAGCTTGGTCTCCACACAAAAGGGAACTGGGAGCAGATGAAGCCACCTAAGAGCGAGCCAAGTGAACACTGTGGGTGAAGACCTGCTTTATGTTTCCCAGGCTCAGGCACCCAGCACTTCCTGTTACCTATAGCAATCAGCGCTTCGTAGTTTCTTTTCACATTCCTATATTGGATTTTTTCTCCTTCTCCCATCTCTTCCCATTCTTCCTTGGAGAAGTATACGGAGAAGGTCTTTGAAAGCATCTTTGGCCTGAGGAAAATAATCGATTTCATCAGTGATTTACTAATCTAAGTCAGACCTTAGAGCTGGGCCTTCTCCTCCACCTTTTGTGCAGGGAGTAGCATGAAGCTCCTGGATGGTCTGTGTGAGACAGGGATGAAGACTTTCCTTCCCGACTGTGTCCTGCTTAACTGAACAAACACTGAGCATTTTCCTAACTCTCCCTGGACACCAGCTTGAACATCTGGAAGTTCACAGTTCACGTATTGCCGAAGGCTGGTGGAGCCGTCAGGCCCCACCCCCTCTAAATAAATTCTGTCACTGTTTCCATTGTTTTCCCATCTATTCGCCAAGAAGTGATGGGACTAGATGCCACGACCTTAGTTTTCTGATTGTTGAGTTTTCAGTACACTTTTTTCCAAAGAGGGTGTTTGCTTTTACCAGTGCATTCACATGGCAGAACCCTATTAGCCTTTGCCTTACTTGATTTTGTACTCCAAGGCCCAATTTGGCAGTTACTCCAGGTGTTTCTTGACTTCCTTCTTTTGCATTTCAGTCTTGCAGGTCTTCATAGAACTGTTCAACTTCAGCTTCTTCAGCAATACTGGTCAGGGCATAGCCTTGGATAACGGTGATATTGAATGGTTTGCCTTGGACATGAACAGAAATCCTTCTGTCGTTTTGAGACTGCATCCAAGTACTGCATTTCAGACTCTCTTGTGGGCTATGATGGCTGCTCCATTTCTTCTGAGGGATTCTTGCCCACAGTGGTAGATATAATGGTTTTAATAATACATGAACTGTGAACATCGAGATGTTCATGCTGGTTTTAGAAAAGGCAGAAGAACCAGAGATCAGATTTCAAACATCCACTGGATCACTGAAAAGCAAGAGAGTTCCAGAAAAATATCTATTTCTGCTTTATTGACTATGCCAAAGCCTTTGACTGTGGATCACAATAAATTGTGGAAATTTCTGAAAGAGTTGCGCATGCCAGACCACCTGACCTGCCTCTTGAGAAACCTGTATG